ATCTCAGATACACTATACACCCATTTCCCTAATCACTGAGTCAATCCATCTCATTGAGGTTCTTGCTCTCCTGCATTGTCCCTTCACCCTTGTAAGTGTGATGTACCTCCCCAAGGACTGGTCACTCCTTGAAACACATCCAAAGTATATCAGATGAAGCCTCAGAATCCTGTCTCCAAGGAGCAGCCTGTTGGTCTCACCCTTTCCAAGAAAAACCTGTTTGTTCTCCTAGCAGTCCACGGTACTTTCAATACTCTTCTCCAGCACTACAATTCAAAGTCATCAATTCTCCTTCTATCATCCTTAGAGTAGAGGGACAGCGCAGGAGGGGAAGACCCTCTATGAGGTGGATTGATTCAGTGACTGGGGTACTCAGGATGGGTGTGTTGGGGGCAATGAGATTGGCACAGGATAGAGCACGGTTTAGGGCTGTTGTACATAGGGTCGCTATGTGTCGCAAATGACTCGACGGCACATAACAACAACAACATCCTTAGTCAATTGCACAGCTTTCTAATTCATAACAATTTTAACAGTTTTGAAGACTACGGCCTGGATCAGGTGTACCTTGGTTTCTAGACTGGCTTCGTTCCTCTTCAGTCCTCTGGAGATGTCCCTGACAGTAGATTTTCCCAGTGCAATTCGTCTATTGATTTCCTGGCTGCTGATACCAAGTGTGTTGATTGTGGAGGAAAGCAGGATGAGACTGTTCACAATCTGAATCTCTTCACCATCTACCATGATGCTACCGATTGGCCCAGTGATGAAAATCTTTGTTTTCTTAATGTTGAGCTTCAATCCATATTGAAGGCTGCAGTCCTTGACCTTCTGCAGCAAGTGCTTAGGATTCTCCTCAGTTTCAGCAAGCAGCATTGTGTCATCTGCATAACACAGATTATTGATGAGTCTTCCTCTAATACTGATGCCACAGTCCTCCTCTTAGAGCCCAGACTCCTGGATGATCTGATCTGTTCTACATGTAGATTCAAAAGGTATGGAGATAGGACATATTCCTGGCCTATACCTTTCCTGATTTTGAACCGTGCAGTGTTTTCTTGCTCTGTTCTGATAACTGCCTCCTGGTCCAAGTATAGATTTCACATAAGCACAATCAAGTGGTCTGGGATTTTCATTCTTCTCAGAGTTAGCCGTAGTTTGTTGTGATCCACACAGTCAAATGCTTTTGCATAGTCAGTGAAATACAGATAGACATTCCTCTGATACTCTCTAGTTTCAGCCAAGGTCTATCTAACATTAGCTTTAATATCACTAGTACCAATGGCTTCTTCTAAACACAGCCTGCACTTCTGGCAGTTCTCTATTGATGTACTGCTCCAGTACTTTTTGGATGTTTTTCAGCAGAATCTTGCTTACATGTGATATTAATGATATTGTTGAAGGATTTCTGCACTTTCCTGGAGCAGAAATTCAAGGCAAAGGAATTTTCTTCTGAACCTTCTGAGATAGAAAGCCTTGTGTAATATTAGTACCTGGAATTTGGATTTAAAGGGGTTACATTACGGATATTTTAATTAAGTGTATGAAGCAAAATGCATGAGATTGTCAATGATTTACTCTGTAAACTTTCAATCAAATTACAATAAAAAGCACAACAGAACTGTGGGGCACATTTCCAGTCTGATATACATGGGAGGAGTCTCCATTAGTTGTGGAGGGGGGATGTTTATGGGTAAAGGGTAATGGAGAATGTAATAATGTAAAGCAGTTTGAGAGTATACCGATTTGCAGCTAGTACTAACAAATTTACAGACAGACTAATCAAAAACTTTATTAGGTGTAATGCAGTTTGCCTTTCAAATATTACATATAGGGCTCTCTGTGATGAGTCAAAGGAATGCTATTATTTTCTCATAAAATCAATTTATATCTGTGTGTCTGTGTTTAGATTTATATGAGAGTGTGTCTGTGTTTAGATTTATATGAGTGTTTTTCCTTCTGCCCTCTGGACTTTGGTATTTTTATCTTGCATCCATTTTGTTCTTTAGGACAAGAACAAGCATACTTTATTAGCTTATGCCACCCTTATTGAAGATATTGGTCACACCACTGTGGAGATCCTATCAACTTTTTTTGTTTGGTTCTGGAAGCCAAGTTTTTCTTTGCTTCTTTTAGTTAACTACCCATTGTGTATAAATAGAGAAAGTTGATAGCTATTTTCGAGCAGTTAATGATAAGATTGTTTTGGGAGATGTATTTCAAAGTAAACCTGGTGATTCCTTTTGAGCCAGAATAGTTTGCTTCAGTAGAAGCCATGGATATCAGAGAAGAAACAGACTTTGCATTTTTAATTTTTAGTTATGAAGATTCTGAGTAGCTTACGAATATTTCTGCATTGTAGGAAGATTCTGTTGTCATTTGGAAGAAACACTATTTTTCTGTTTCTCTAGCTGTCCTGTTGAAGATCACCATACTGAGTTTAATAAACTTCCTTGTTTATTTGTTCTTATGGCCTAATGGTAAAGATTGTGATGCCAACACAAAGGCATATGTGGTTCAAATCCACCACCTGCTGGGTTGGAAAAAGTTGGGGAATCTCCTCCTTTGAGATTTATTGCCTCTGAAAACTTGTCGGAGGTCACCAAGGCATAATAACAACATTCCCTTGCTCACTATTGAATGAAGAATTTGAGTTCACAAAAAAACCTTTAATATTTGCAATTGTCATTTCATATATTTTTTCAGAAATGAAGTTATCATTAAATACATATACAAACATTCTAAGAGATATCAAGCATATTACTTATTTATGACTTTTAATTATTTTTCTCTCTTCCAATTTGCTCACTGAGTGCTGATTCATTCGCATTTAAAATCTGTCCCAGTAATTTCTGTTTTCTATCTGCCTTCTTGTAACTCTGATTTTACAATGCTGTTGTTATTCTTTTGACTCCTTGTCTACATTTGCATTTTTTTTATTCTTTCATGTTATAAATATGGTTTGTTTGGTTTTTTTTTTCCTACATGAATTGCTCAGAATTAAGAGATTGGTTTCTAGGGACTTGAGGCACTGGAATCAAGTGGTTCTCGGAAGAGGAGCACTACCAAGAATTTCTTCATGTATAGAATTATATTGAAGCTGCCTGTGGTATGAGAAGGAAGTAAGCAAGTGAGCTTTGCTACCACACGACTGAAATGGGAAAATCTATTCAAAGCATGATCTGGAGAAGTGTGCAATGAAAAAAAAAAACACACCAAAAAACCCCCATACTAAAGGCCAGTCTCCCACATCAGTAGTTAATAGCTCATGGATTTGCTACTAAGAAAATGAAAACTTTAGTTAATAAGATTGGTTACCACCTACTGAGAAAGAAATTTAAGGCTTCCTATTAATTTTCCTGCCATTTCCTTTTGACAGGCCAGTCAATTTCATATTTCTTTAGTAGCAAACACACAAAAAAATAAACACCTTAAAACAGAGACATAAAACAATTTAAAGGAAGTTGAAAGTAAAGTCTTCATTTTGCTCACTTGGGGTGAGACCCAGGCTGGGTACAAACATTGCCATCAAAGGATTTGGACTCATAATAATCCTATATGGCAGAGTAGAATAGGATAGGGGAGTTCTCATGGCGTGTGAGTCAGTTTCTACTCCATAGCAGAGAGAGATTTTGTTGTTTTATTGGGTTTTTTAGAAGGTTGTTGTTATGAGCCCTGGAGTTGAGTACAACGCATAACAACCTTATGAACACAGATCTGACCCCTGTCCTAATCCTGTGCCATCCTCATCATCTCTGCCGGACTTAAGCCCATTACTGCAGTCACTGTGTCAATCCTTCTCCTTGAGGGTCTTCCTCTTGGTTGCTGACCCTCCACTTTTCTAAGCATAATACCCCTTTATAAGGAATAACTCTTCCCAATAGAAAGAGATCAAAAGGAAAGGAGAATTATAGAGTCAAAGTGGGGTCAGTACTCTTAAATCATGATGAATATAATGAATGTCATAACCCAAAATCTGTATAAAAGATTAGATGGAAAACCAATTTGTTCTGTGAATCTCCTTCAAAGCACAATTTAAAAACAAAAATAACACACACCCCAGCAGAAATCATGAAAAGAGAAAGGCAGAAGACAGTGAAAGAATCTGGGAGATGGCCCAGATAAGTAGCTAAGATGACTCAGAGTCTCCCGCGGGGAATTTTGGTGTGGGGACTTCACATTAATAAATATGCTATTAGCTTTGTGGAATCAGCAGGCTTAAGCGATTTTCCCCCCTCAAGAAGACTGATTGAATTTAAAGGTTCCACAACTAAGGGACTGACTGTATTACTCACCCCTTTTATTTATTTATTTTTTTCTGCACAAGTAAGAATGCTTCTAACTCTCAGGTCTCTGGGTTAATTACTGGAAACCTTTAGGTCATCACCAAACCCCTGACTAAATATTTAGGCTACTTCGCTGAACCTACATCCAACTTTTGATCTTATGTGTGTTTCCTTCTAAATCGATCAGAAAACGTGGTCAGGTTCCAGATCTCAGCTCCCTGGTGAGGCAGAAGGAATCCTGGCTAGTTGTCAGAAACTGGCAGCAGGCTGCGATGATGGGGGCATTTCAGAAGATGAACTTATCTCCGTGCTTCTTAATATCAAGGGGGTCTGGGAGGAGATCCCAGAGATGCGAGGCACCTGGGCTGCTGCGCACAGCCCTCCGCGCCGCGGTCGGGAGCCCCTCTCTGCAGGCTCACGGATGAGCAAACGCCTGTGTGCGCGAGAGCGGCGGGCGGCGGGCGGCGGCGGCGGGAGGAGGCGCAGGCGCGCTGCTCGCCCGTCTGCAGCCCAGCGCTGAGCGCCGCGTCTCGGGGAGTTGATGGCAGCACCACAGTGCGGCCGCCCGGCGGAGCGCGGAGCGCAGCCACCCGCCGCTGCCCGGGGAGCGTCCAAGATGTGGAGGGACCGGGGCGGCAGCAGCAGCGCCAGGGACGGGGGCGCGCAGCAGCCTTCGCTCTCCCTCCTGTCCTGACCTGCCTCGCTTGCCCCCAAAGAATGTCAGCCAAGTCTAAGGGGAACCCCTCCTCGTCCTCTCCAGCCGAGGGGCCGCCCGCAGCCTCCAAAACGAAGGTGAAGGAACAGATCAAGATCATCGTGGAGGATCTGGAATTAGTCCTGGGCGACCTGAAGGACGTGGCTAAGGAACTTAAGGAGGTGAGAGGCGCGGGGGTGGGGAGGGAGTTCGTCGCCTTTCGTCCCCTCGCTGTTCCCGATTTCGCCGGGGACCTCTAGATTTCTAAACTCCTGAAACTATACAAAGATGCCTGCAGAAGGACTTTTCTTCTTTGCTTTGGCGACTCCTGAAAAAGAGTTGTTGTTGCACTTTCTTTTTTCTTAATCTGGAAGAAATCAACTAGTGTTTTTAATCGATTGACCTGGGGGTGGTGGGAGGGGTGAAGGTGCGGTGCGCACGTCTCTGTGTCTCTGTCTCTGTGTGTGTGTTGGGGGTGTGTCGGCAGAGAAAGAAATTAGCAGCCTGCCCAGAGCTTGCACGATGCTCCTCTCAAGCCTTCTGCTCCCCCAGAGCCCTTTGGCAAGTCCGCTGTTTGCCTGGCAGTCTCCCCAATCCAGAGCTGAAGGGGGGCCAGGTTCTGGGCCCGGAGCCAGGCCGGGGAGGGCAACTCCGGGGATCTCTGCTCAGCTTCCCTCCCTCCTCCTTAGTCTTACAGGAAGAAAGGCGACCCAGGCTGCTGGCAGTAGAGCCCAGACCTCGGAATGTGGAGCCATCAGGGGACTTTCTCACTTTCGCAGTTCCTGAAGCATCTTTAGTCCCCTCTGACCGAGGTTCCCAGTAACTCTGGGCCTGCTTGCCACCTCTGTCTGCCTGCCTTCCATCCTTTCTCTGCTTGGAAGCTGAGGAACTGGGCTCTCAAGCGCCAGTGTGTGTGTGTGTGAGTGTGAGTTTGGGCATGTGTGTGTTATGTGTTGTGTGTGCGTGTCTCATTTTACCACTTCACTCTTGGCTCTTTGGAACTGGGATGGTTTTGGCCTCCCCCCTCTCAAATTGCTTGTTTCCCTGTGGGAGAGGTGTTCTGGATGGAAGGCAGAGGCAGTGACAGGGTTGAGGCTGCGTAACTCGTAACTCGGGCGGTGTCTCCTGACGGAGGCGGGTGCCAGGCTGGACGGGGTGGGTTCCCCAGCGAGCACGACTGACAGCTGGTGGCGCCGAGAAACTGGTGGCAGTGCGCGGGCGTGAGCTGTTGCACTACCAAACCTGTGCCTGGTGCGGTTGTCAGTAAGGAGTCTGTCTCCCTGCTTATATGAGAACTTCGAAGGTGGTGGTGTCCAGGAAGGGAAGGGCACAGGGTGAGATATTGTCCAAATTAAAATTATAATACTGTTTCTGAAGCTAAGAAGAGAGAGATTTAAGGTTGTTTGGATGGCAGGCCTCTAAAAATTAACCTTTTCTATCCAGTTTCCAGTTTAGTTTTGAGGAAGGAGTATCTCATTTCGGCATTACCTCTGTGAATTGAACTCTACATTTGTTCCTTAAACGGAAGTCTCTTAAAATGACCTCAACAAGATTCACTCTGCCAAATGGCTAATACCATTCATGTAGGTTGGTCTACAGACAAAATGTTATTGCTACTGAGATTCTGATGTGTCAGTTGATATAGATGTGGGGGTCAAACGTCAATGTTCACAGGGCTTCCCTAGGATCATTGTTACACAACTGGTTGACAGATGGTGAGGTTATGCTTTAAAATTCTAGTCTAAAGATGTTGTTCCTTGCTTTGTTAATCCTTTTATTTGGCATCTTTGGCAGGCTTTGTTTTCATCTGTAACATTATGGTGTATTTGAAAAAAGAATAAATTTGGGCACATTCCTTTTGGCAGGATTGTGCTTTGTAGTTAGTTATTGGGTTTCCAGAAAGTAGAGAATGTGAGAAACTAGGTGCAAACAAGAGTCAATGTATTCAGAGATTGTGAGTAAAAGAATGGTAGTCAATCAGATTCTGCCTCTGTGGAAATACTCCCTTACGATGTGTAATCCCACTCCCTCTTTTGGGCAGAATAAATTATAACAAATGATGTATGGTATTTGTTCTACTTTGAATCATTGTACTGTAGACATTTGGAGATCTGGTAGCTCAGAAAGTTTTTTACTTTTAACCCTCAGCAACTCTCAGTTGGAATGAGAAATAAATCATGAAGTCTGTGGTTCTCCTTTCTTCCGTTCACTCTTTATATCCATGTCTTCATTTACTTGAAGATTTTTAATAAATGGACACCGACAGAGCAGTCGTCTAAATAGAAAAACATAGATATGTACTCCATCATAAAGAAATGACATTAATTATAGAACAGAGGTCAGGTCTTCTGTTTAAAGGGGTGCTATGTATGCAACTTGATGACACTTAACCACTGCTAAGTGAGACTAGTGTTGCTATATTTTGGTTAGTGTTGGCTATCTTCTACTTTGTACATCACTCCTTGTCAATTTGATATATTGAGGTAATCTGGGTCAGCTGTAATGCTGAACTTTGTGACATTGGGGTATCAAATGCCATAATGGTTTCCAAAGGTGGGCAGTGTTTGGTGGAGCTCCCATTTGTAGGACAGATTTGGAAGCAGAAGTGGCATCCACCTCCTAAATCACATGCCTGTGAAAACTCTATGAACTTGGAGAAATTTACAGAAAGGCTTTAGGTCTTTTGTACACGGAGTCGCTATGAGTTGTGCTCGACTTGACAGCAATCAACAACAACAACAACAACAACATGTGCAACTAAGTTGGTGAAAAAAAAAATCTGGCTTTTAGACAATGCTCACTAGGGAGAACATTTGTATTTAATGCTTTGGGACATTTGATTGGATACCAGAGTTATTTGGGTAATCATCTCATTGTGACACTGAAATTTATGAGTGGTAAATGATGTGATGAGCTTGTTAATTACTTTTGTGTGAGTATCAACACATTGGGTTTGTACAAGTATATAACATAACAGGATCTCAAAGCATTGGCCATTTAGAGAGTAAAAGTAAAAGTTATTTTGAGAACACAATACTTACATGGCATATTTAACCTGCAACATCTTGACATTGTGATAAATTATCTTTTAAAGATAACAGAGAACATCTATGCATGTCTTTTGATGTAATTTTAAATGAGTAAAAGCAAACATTATAAAGTAAAAAGATTGATGATCTATACATATATGTCTTATAAATGTAAATATTACTATTTAATTCATAAATTGTCACATTCAATATCTGGCAGTTTATATTTGGAACATATAAATATAAACCATTATATTTACAACTCTATTTTTTTAATCACTGATAACATATTTCTAAATAAATTAGATGACAGAGCCTATTAACTCAAAATAGAAATTAAAAATAGTGATTATGACAAGAACATTGCTAGTTATCATATGATATTTTGTTAATTATTTCTGGTTTTCTTCTAGTAAAAATGCAACATTATTTTTAATATTCTTTTATTTATATGAGGAGGCAAAATTATAAAGCTTCAGCTTATATACTTAGGGAGTATTACTAGGAGAATCTATTCTGTGGAGAGGAACATCATCCTTGGTCAATAAAAGAGAGGAAGGCCCTCAGTCAGGTGAATTGATAGATACAGTGACTGCTGCAGTAGGCTCTACTGTGTCAGAATGGCACAAGATAGGACAGGGTTCAGATCTATAGTTCATAGGGTTGTTACGGGTTGTACTCAACTTGATGACACCTAGAAATAAAAGTCTCTATTTTAGATTAACTATATGCCAAGAATACTGAAGTTTAACTTGCGATCATTTTGAAACTGCTTTTCTTTGTTGAAACTTTATGAACGTTGGTCATCTGAAAACTCAGATGTATTAAAACATTACTCTGAGAAGCATGGGAATCCTAGAATACTTGATTTTGCTTATGTGAAACTTATAATTGGACCAGGAGGCATTTGTCAGAACAGAGAAAGAAAACACTGCATGGTTCAAAATCAGGGAAGGTGTACACCAGGGATGTGTTTTATCTCCATACCTGGGCTCTATGAGGAGGAATGTGTTATCAGGATTGGAGGAAGGCTCATTAACAACTTGTGTTATGCAGATGACACAATTTTGCTTGCTGAAACTGAGGAGAACCTGAAGCCCTTGCTGCAGAAGCCCAGGGACTGCAGCTTTAAATATGGATTGTAGTTCAACATCAATAAAAACCACTGATTTTCACCACTGGGCCAATAGGCAGCATAATGATAGATAGTGAAGAGATTGAGACTGTCAACAGCTTCAGCTTGCTTGGTTCCTCAATCCACACTCTTTGTACTAGCCCCCTGGAAATCAAAAGACAAGGTGCATCTGATTCAGGTTGTGGTCTTTGCAATTACTTGCTGTGCATCATAGAGCTGGATTATAATTATAGATGATAGAAGAAACATTGATGGCTTTGAGTTGGGATGCTGGAGAAGAGTATTGAATATACCATCATCTGCTAGGAGAACAAATAAGTTCAACCTGGAGAGGATGAAACCAGACTGCTCCTTGGATGAAAGGATTCTGAGTCTGACGTACTTTGGCCATTTTTCAAGGAGGAACCAGTCCTTGGTGAGGGACATCATGTTTGGAAGGGTGGAGGGACAGTACAAGAGCGGAAGACCCTGGATGAGATAGATTAACTCGGTGATGGGGTAATGGAGGTAGAAGTGTCAGAGACAATGAGGTTGGCTCAGGATAGAGCAGGGTTCAGAGCTATTGTTGTACACGGGGTCGCCATGAGTAGCAAGCAACTAGATGGCACATAAAAACAACAGCAATAGTTAGAAGCTCTTTAGTAATTAGTGATGAAACTCAAATCTGTCCAGTGGGCAAAGTTGGTATTCTGTCTTTTTTATGATTAGTTGTTTAGACTTGCTAGTTTAACTGTGGAAAGCATGTGTTTTATCACTCCCACTAATGAATATATAAGGTTAGAAAAGATTTAAAGTTTATATTTGGGGTTGTATTTTGGACAAAGTAGATCACACTTTTTAGAAAATTAATAAGCAGTTTATTCTCTCCAGAATTTAGTAGTAACTCAGTTTTCAAAAATAATATCCTTATATGTTCATTCATCTTTATCTGTACATTCAGCACCTGCTATAAGCAAAGTACTCTTTTTATTTTTTACCAAGATAAGTTGTAATTAGGGCCTTAATGAGCTCTGAACAA